TTAAATAGTACGATATTATTAACAATTCTATTCCAAAATTGATACAGCGTGACTTGCTCCGTTCACAATACAGACATGTAACAAAGACTAACTGGAAATTCCTTTATACGGCTTCACTTTAGAAGTCTGAGTGAAACTGTTTTCAATCACTTGAAAGATATCTGACTTCATGAAAATATAAAAATATTTACAATTATTAATCGACCTTATAACAACGTACGTAGCTTATAACATAACATATTAGATTTTGAAGAAAGTTAATTATGAAAGAAGGTGCGGTTTCCGTAATGATCAGTAAAATGCCGCGATCATTAGTACGTACTACTGTACGCATATAAGGCACATGAAACTTGTATCACAATAAATCTGCTTCAGCAAATGTTAGTTCCATACTTTGCCAACCCAATGCTTTATTATCAAAAATACGCAATGTTTTAGCTAAAAACGTCTTATATTGAAAACATACATACAATCATATTTTTTATGATGTTCTATAAAATAATTTTAATATAACAATATTTTATTTCATGTATATCTTGCTAAGTGTATTTTGGTTCAATGCATTTAATTCCTCAACGGTTTACTCAAACCACTAGTATACTTTAAAAAGAACATATTTAAACCATTTTTTATTTGAGAGCTTGAGTTATCTCTCGGTAATATTACGAGTATTATAGCTCAGGAGCTGGTATCTGAAAATTGTATAGCAATACAATAATAAATCTAAAACAGTATTATTATCTTTATAGGAAGTGCTATTTGAGATCAGTTTAAATCTTTCTAAGTGTTTATCAGTAACCTCGAGCTCGGAGCGGTGGTGAAGAACTTTCTATCATTAGGATATAATAAATATGACACAGCGTAATGTTGTTAGGTCTTCTTATAATAAAACTGTTGTAATCAATATGATATTTTCAAACATTAACCTCTAATAATATGGAACAAGTTTATTAGCAAATACTTTTTCTTGTATTTATTTCAAACGTAATGTAACTTTGAGATGAATTTTCATTATTGTTATTGGTACTAAGTATATAATGCAAATATGTATACAGGAGTTATCGATTGAGCATTTAAGTAAGAAAAGGTGATTATTTATTTTAGGCAATGAAGTAAGTTATGGTTTGCTTTTCGTATTATATATATTGAATTAAATAAAAAAAAAATTACAAACACTGAATACAAAGAGTTTGCTTATTAACATATCGCATTTATAATATACGGGTTTGTTAGTTTTTTTTTGTCAGTTCCTTTTCTGGTTCAAAATATTGTTTCTAATTATAACTCTTTAAATATCATTAATTCAAAATTAAATGGAAGTAAAAAATCTTGAATATGTTTTCCATACAGTTAAATTATAAGAGAAAGATTTCTCGACACTACAGTCATAGATTAAAATTATAAAATTCTAATCGCAAATTAAAATTATAAAATTCTCTTAATAATTGAATGATTGTCATCAGAACTCATGGTAGGAGCCTAAGTTGTAGAACAAAATGTTCTTAGCTTCAATATATCTACCATTCAATCACCGTATATAATATAACCATTCTAAAAATGTTGTAGTTTTTTAATTTTTATATAGTGAAAAATAATGTTGTTAACACTGTCTGCGGCTCTTGTTTCCATTCATTACTTCTATGTTCATTTAAATTTATACAATATTATAAATGAATCTTTATAATCTCTTATATATTCAAAAATCCTAGTTTAATTATAAATACAATAGGATACAGTCAAATAACAAACTTAAATCTTTTTATTTTTGTATTCATAAAATAGAGAAAAGCAAAGTACTTTATTATAATATTAGAACATTGATTTACTTACTTTTTTGGTTATAAGATTCTTTATATCATGTGTATAACAGAAATACTTATGTGTTTATAATGATAGATGGTAATAGTTTAAATAATAAAGTGTTTAGTTCTGTTTCAATGTACAGAAAGTCAACAGCTCTTCAGTGAAGTAATCTGTTATATTCACTGAACGTACTTTAAGTCTTCTGGGTCGAGGTCGGCTTACTATTATTATTTTTTAAATGTTCGCTCACAGAAAAGCGGTTTACGTTCAGCTTTAATTCTACGCGTGGATTTATTAAAAGGTTTCAAACTATCTGAACAATTATGTATTGAAATTTATACAAAAAATATAGGCGTTTAGAGTCATCGTTAAAAGTACATATGTTTCCGTAACAAAATTTCTTAATTTTGATAAAATTTGTCACTTTAAAATATGATTACTGATAGTATAAGAGATGGCGTACCTAAAATGTTATTAAAGTGATAAAAATATGATTTTCCAGTGAATCAAGTCTCTCAACATTAACTGTGGACTTGAGCAATACAAAGGGACTTCATACTAGTCAGAGTTCCATCGATATTATTTTTTTCTCCAAACGCATCGACCGATGATAGTTCATCGGTCTACATCGGCACCTAGTGGTCTTTTTATTGTTTTTGAGTATTTTTTATCATGTTATGACTTCCGCTGTTTTTTTGCCTTATTAATATTATAATCATACATTGAGATTAAAAAAATATGAAATATTGAATATTCATTTATAAAACTGTAAAAGAAAACACACTGCATTTTAAATGAAACTATATTGTTACGCTTTTTCGAACATATTTTATGAATGTGACTACAAGCCAGCACTTGTCATCATTATAATATAAATAAATACTACAAAACGGATATAAGTAATAATTACATTAATTTGTATATAAATTTTAATCTTCTTCTATATATATAAAAGAAAGTCGTGTTAGTGACTCCACTTATAACTCAAGAATGGCTGAACCGATTTAGCTGAAAATTGGCAGGGAGGTAGTCTAGAGCCAGGAAATTGCAATAGGATACTTTTTATCCCGTTCGACAGCATTCCCGTGGGACTTGATATGAAACGTCAGTCACTATAAAACGTGGAATAACGAAACACAATTGACAGCTATGCAATTGACGTATAATGACAGATATGTAATGACATAATGATGACAATTAGATATTTGTAAGAGATCTACTATATAAAAATAAGTCCGGTCCGGAACGAACTAATTTCCACGGTTTTGCATTCGTTGGAAAGATCTCGGGTTCCGTGAGGTATATACCAAAAAATTTCAACAGAAAAGCGGGAAAATCTTTTATCACATACAGCGCCATCACACATAACATGTACTACAAATCAATATTTTAAATGGTGCCGGTCACCGGTGCATGATACATTGATTGACAGCTACTCATTGTTCTCTGCTCAGTTAATTTCATGTGACAAACCGGTATTGTGTTTGTAGTTTGAACTCTTACAACCATTTGATATGTATTTGCGGGATAAATTTAGAAAACATTGTTTTTCACATGGGCGTTATATTTTGCGTGTTCACGAGTTTGGAAACCATCCGCTTTATTTGTATTGAAGTTAGACCAATAAACAAAAAATGTGGTTTACAAAGGACCACTTCGGTCGGTAGATTCGGTATCTTCTTTGGATTCACTTTCATTTACTTAGAGAAGTTCAACTAAATAACACTTCATTTTTGTAATCGAAATGAATTTATTACAGTTGTGAAATGAAATAAAAAATTTCCTTTTCAAATATAAAACAAACAAAAAATCTTCATCTTTTAATCACCAAACGAAATGTTATATAAAAGCCTTCTGGTGGCGAAACGGAGTTCGCCAGGTTTACTAGTTAAATATAAATTATTCGACAAATTTAATTTTAATTCCTCGTATGACGTTGTTTTCACATAATTTTGTGAACATTCTTACTATGGAAAATGATTTATTTACCTTTATATTATATAAGGAGAGTAAATTCTTTAAATTTTAAATTAATACTAGCAATGTTCTTAATAACTATGGAAATAAATACTTGATTTTTGGACATTCCATAACATTTTATTAAACATGAGCACTGGTTATGAGAAAGTTTTAATTTTAACTTTTATGATTTATTTACAGACGAATTATATAGGGTGGCAACTGGAAGTTCCAGGAAAACTACGAAACATACTTATATATGTATGTTAAAATACGAATTACATTTTAAAACTTTACCTAAGACTGCATGATTTCCCCGATGTTAGGATGACAATGGCATTCTATTGCTTGGTGGTATGTGGAATCTTCTGGCTCACACGGCTTGGTGTTGGCTCTTCGAATTCAGCGGCGTCGCTCGTTATACGATATTTTACCGATACAAAGATGTCGCCCCGATGATGTTCATTTTCTTTTCTTCATATGTAGCGAGTACGTAACACCTCCACCCGCACATCGGCAACCATTTTCGAAAAAGTAAAATGTAAATAGGATACACGAGACGTAAATAGGACAGCGGGTTTTACGAGGGACATCTTAAATTAATAAAAAAATATATTTAAAATAGGTCACTAGTTCAAACACAATTATTTTGTTGTAAATAAAACCTCAATATTGTAATGAAAACATTAAATTATTTTGAAGTCAGATAAATAGAAATATTAAGATGCCTTTATGTATGAAGTAAAATTTATGAATGTATGAATTAAAGTAAGTTGATGTCTGTATCGACGCCCACGTTATGTTCATGAGAAAAACATCTATCAATAATCTTATAATCGGATTCATTGAAAAATATCTTTGTATATTTAGTTTAGTAATAAAAGATGAATCAATACAATACATTAATATAACACTTCGCAACTTAATTAGCGGGTCGATTGACTCGCTGAGTCTGGGCTCTAATGTTATATTGTGAGAACAATTTTATTTTATACTTACATATTATTTCAGATATAATATTATAAGATTTGTATATTCGATTGTGTTATTAATTAAAGAATATTCTAAGGTAATTTAAAAAACTTTAATAGTCGTTTTGTCTTTACATTTAATGTTTGTTTCCTTGACAGCACAGATTCAAACAGTACTGTGTACTCTGGAGATAGGTTACCAGCTGCCCACGCGAACTACGTTGAGAGAGGCCAGCTACCTTATGGCTCACTTTCACTCATTCTCTGTCATCTTAAACTTGTTGAACGTGAAACCTTGATCGCAAGAAGCCCAAAATCTGAGCTTAACAAGTACCGTTGCCTACGGTCTGTTATCAATGAGCTCCTGCCAGTATCGAGTCTTGGCCTCAGTGAATCCTTATGACTTCTCAGTACTCCGAACAGGCTTTGTTTATTTACTCGCCTGCGGCTCTCCTTCTGCTTTGAACTCGGAGATAGAGGCGGCGTTAATTTTGCCATTGTTGCAATTGTACTTTGGTATTTTTTCAATGTCTTGCTTACTTTCCTTCCTTATTTGTTTGTTAAATTATGTTAAACTCATTTTAAATTCTGTTAAATTCGTTGTTTGTCTGTTGTCAAGTCTTTATATCGTGTCTTCTACGTTCTCGTTAGCGATGAGTAGATTTTACACAGCTTCTATAGCTTTCCCTCGAATGCTTCGTCGTAGTCTCCCCATGTTCTCTGTCTCGTAGTATAACTGCGACGATTCTCTGTATATGACGTTGAAATGTGTGTACATACTGGCACATTGCCAGCAAGTTCGCCTGAGGATTGCCATCGGAGTTTTTGCCACCGTTATTTATATATAACATTATTAAAACATATTACTGAGAGTCACTATTAAAGAAGTATTACCTTCGTCGTATATTGTCTTAAAGGATCATATGAAAGCTTCGGAATACAATATTTATATTGTGTTTAGAAGCGATTTACAAAATACTTTTTTAAAATTAAGCACGTTGTTAACGTTTTGATGAATTTAAGCCTCATTAACGTGTTCGCAGCCTTGAGGAGCGCTTTACTTGGAAATAAAGGAGCTTTAGAATATAATACGCTGATTTCATTGTACACGTTCTTAGATTTAATTAATTAAGACTTGGATTACTCCCGCTTGGAACACATATCTTAAAGAAAAAATGGGATCGCTTTTCTTTTATTTCTATCTTTAATTGTAATTATTTAAAAATTATAAGCCTTAAGTGAAGAATTGGTTGTTAAATCACCGCAGCGCTGTATAATATGTTAATTACATTTTAACGTAATGAAAATTTGTGTCGAGAGTGTTAAAAATAAAGAAAGAAATTACAACTCTCTGTACATATTTAAATATTATATTAGTATGTCTGTAAATATAAAATAAAAAATATATCCTTTGTGCTGCTATAGATAAGCTAAATTACATTTAATTCTAATAAATCAGAATATAAGTATGTATTTTATATAAATACCTCCATAACATAATTATTTCTTGTATTCAAAAAGTTCTATATTAAAAAGTACAAAATTAGTTAGATTATGACCAAAAATATTTAAAAAGTCGTAATAAGCATATAAAAAATTTGTGAAATTATATTCAATAATCTATATGTGCAAGAAAACTATATTAATAAAGAGATTTTATTCTAATGTTAAAAAATATCTTGTTTATATTTATAGTAGGAACCTAGTTGTAGTATAAAAATGATATTTAGTTAACGTATGTGTTCAGTAAAAGAGAGTGATTAAAAAATACCACAGAAAAAACGTTCCCTAAATATTTGTTTATATGAAAATATTCTATACTAAGATAAATAAATATTTAACGAAACTAATATTTTCGGATTTACTACGCGATATTTTATTTTTGACTATAAACTATATACTAACGACGTTTTAGTAAATACGCGCCTTTGCGTTGGCTTAATCAAGTGAAGACCTCGACAAAAGCTCCTGTAAACTTGTTCCAGGAAGGCATCGATTAGAGAAGGATGGCGTCGAATTGTCAAGCGAGCCACCACTACCGAAACGGATGACCACGACCACTCTGTCAAGAGTGACACCGACTGAGAAGAAGAAGTACATAAATCCGAAAATATCAGTTTCATTTAAATGAGTACTCGTGAAAATCTTAGATCTCATTAAATATTTAACGAATTTAGTATTTGTTTAAACTATTTTTATTTTTATTTTATATAAATTTATACCTGTCGAAAGACATCACCAAATAGTCGAACATCATCACTCGGATTCAGTCAACAATAGCTGTCAATTATTTCTTTTTATTAAATTGTAATGGAAAAATAAAGCATGTCGCAAACAGAGCTTATAACTGTGTTAGTTTCTCTATTTTCTACAAAAGCCATAGGAGTTATATTGGAACCATTATATTTTATCACTGTATATTACATATCTACATTAATCTACAACTGTTCAAGATATGCCCATAGCTTCTTATTTCATTATTTAATATGAGTAATGGTAAATACATATTTATTATAAAATAAAAGTTGTTTAACATATACCTTTTATATGTATAAGTAACGTCCCTGTAAAAATTCCGTTAAGTTCGTCCAAATGTTGCGTTGTTATTTCAAAAAAGGAAACTTGTATATATTTATCTATATTCTTGTAAAACAGGAGTAGAACTTTTTCACCATTGCCTTAGATTTACTAAGATATACAATAGTATGGAGTTTAGTAATTTAGTAAAAAGATAATATATTAAATTACGAATAAACTATGAAACTTTTAATCTAAATCTTATAAATGTTAGGTGCTGTATTAGCCTCAAAAAGCTTTTGAACATCACTTTCCTGAGTATGAAGTAAGTAAAGTATTTAGCATAACTTTTATAACAGGCTGTTCAAATAATATCAGAATATTTAGATTCTGTGACCGTTACATCGTTTGTGTCTTTATTATATCACTCTTTATTTAAAGCCCAAGCCCACTTTTCTCTTTCTGGCTTCTTTTTTCTATATTCTTATCGGTTACTTTGGTCTACCCTTCATATTCAACTCTCTAGGCGGTTTCCCTTTCCTAACAACGTTACTGAACAAGGCCTTTGTTACACGTTTATTAACATTTGATTAGATGTAGACTGATGATTTAACTAACCAGTAATTGAACGTTTCCATTCCTTTGCAGTGTATTTGACAGACAAGCAATAACTTCTCTAAAAGTTTAATTACACACAGTACGTAATTATGAAGCATTGTTGGGTTTTGTTAGCTTTTAATATATTATTACATATTGAAACTATCGTAACAAAGAGAAAATTGTTTCATCTCTACACATAATGTAAGAAAATTAATATTTATTTCAGCAAACTTTGAACCACACAATATTGTCTAAAGCAAATTATAAAACATATGAATAACGAGCATTTAACAAAAGAATCACTAAAATTGGGTTTGATATAGACATAAAATAAGATCTGCACGTAAAGCCCTGAGAAGAAACTTGTATAATACACACAAAAACTATTTAACTACAAACGATTGAAAACAGATACAGTTAGATTGCTTTCAATCAAATACAATTTGTTTGAAACAGTGTGCTAGTACAAATTAATAATATATTAGATTTGATATCAAGTATGTTGTTTAATTTTTATTTTAGGTGTATGTGTAATCTACTTTATAAAAAAAACATTGTCACACAAGTAATGGGGTTCTGCGATATAAATGTTAAAATATGAAATACAACCGGATCGTTTAAAAATGTTACTCGTTTGTTCTTACAAAATATTGTTCGATGTAGTAGAATAGCTAAGGGTGTAAATGATCATTGATAATAATAAGTGATAACTAAATATGAAGTAGTTATTGTATTGGCACTATTTGGCAGATCAAACCTCAGAAGGTTTTTCATCACCTGGGCGAAGAAATATGAATGAGTAAATGGGTATTAAATGGGTCTTGAAGCTCAAAAGAAATTATATTGAAATTATAATCTGACCAAGTTTATTCCTACCAACTCAAAAACTCTTCTCAAGTGACTTTTTAATACTTAGAACTAAAAAATTATACATTGTATAATCTTCTAAGGTGCAGTTTTTTTTCTTTTTAATTATAGAAATACGTTAAAGTACATAAAATATACAAATATACATATATAGAAATAATTATTTGTCACTGGAATACGATTTTTAATAAGTCACAAGCTTTACTTCTGGTCTAAATTCTAAATTATAGTTTCATAAAATGATATACCGTATAACAATTCCATAATGAAAGGCTTGATTACTCTGGTACATAAACTACAGAAATGACATAAGTATTTAGTTATTGATCTCCTCGGAACATTTAACTTTGATAACCGCAGGAGGGTTTCTAACAAACGTACATTCAAAACTACTTGAAAACATTAATTGAATTGATGTCCCTCGTCTATACTGTATATACTACGGTTAATTTAAAGTAGGTTGTTAATTTATCTTGTAGTTTAATAAACACCAATAAAGTATTACTTAACAAATATGAGTTAACAAATCAAAGTTAATGAGTACATTACTTATGTTACAATGTAATATGATTTAAAATTTTAAGCAAGCATGTAATCTGAAGTATAAAAGAAGAGTTTTTTACTATGTTAGAGGATGAGTCAAGACACAAAATATACATTTTTATTCTTTTCTGACTTTTATTTTGTTATCTTTATGCCGTCATTATTAATTGTTGTGGAATTATTGAGTGTTGATGTTGTACATCTGATAGATGAAGAATAAACAAGAATGGTACCATCAAGTCCTTTAAAGCTACGTTCCTTTCAGTTTTTTGTCGTTTTAAGTTGTTTTCATGAGCCTGTTACATTTTTTTCCTTATTGATTATTTCTGTTAATGTTCACGAATTTTATAAGACTTATGATAAATTCATGACATGACTTTCAATTACATTATAATTTCATTTTCTTTTTTATTTTTCTGTTTTAAATTACTCTTAATTTCCTATTTTTCATTCTAATTCAATGTCCTACTGTCTCTTCAATTAATTTCTAACAATCATATAAAGAATATTTATGGCTAGATAGAAGCATTACAGTTTTATTGATGCAGGGATTTTATTTTAACTGTTATTTCTTTATAAAATAATGGTGGTGGTGATTTATAAACAACCTTTGGTTTTCATACAGTTTCACATGTAATTATATCAGAAACAATGTCCTTCGAAATAAATAAAAGTTTTATAATCATCTAATAGGTTGTTCATCGGACAACATCTAATTGTTCAACATGCTTGAGAATATAAAACTCTTATTACCAAACTATAAATATAAAAAAAGAATAATGTATTAAATTAAACTGAAGCCAACCAACACAAATCTAAAATACAAAATATCAATCACTCACTCACCAACTCCGATATATTTTTCGTATCAACACCGATATTATAACTCTGTTTATCAGTTATTTAATATATCAAAGTTGTTCTTTATTTAAGTTATTTACTATTTTTAAGAGTTATATCATTTACAAAAT